TCCCTTTCCTTCCTTCCTTCCTTTTTCTTTTCCTTTCTTTTGATTGGTTGTATTTTTAGTAGAGATGGGGTTTCACCATGTTGGCCAGGCTGGCCTCCAACTCCTGGCCTCAAATGAGATTTAAAAAGAAAAAAAAAAGCTGTAAATACTTTTTTTTGGGAAAAGGAGAAGTTTGAATATGACCTAGATATTGGATAATATTATAATATTATGACTAATTTTCTTAGATATGATAATGATGCCAGGGTAATATAAAATTCCATGTTCCTTTTTTTTGGGACACAGTCTCACTCTGTCGCCCAGGCTGGAGTGCAATGGGGCGATCTCAGCTCAAGGCAACCTCTGCCTCTCAGGTCAAGCGATTCTCCTGCCTCAGCCTCCCGAGTAGCTGGGATTACAGGCATGCACCACCAAGCCCGGCTAATTTTTGTATTTTTAGTAGAGTTGCGGTTTTGCCATGTTGGCCAGGCTAGTCTTGAACTTCTGACCCCAGGTGATCTGCCTGCCTCAGCCTCCCAAAGTGCTGAGATTACAGGCATGAGTCACCGGTCCCAGCCAGATTCCATGTTCTTAGATGAATGATGAAATATTATCAGTGAAATCTCGTGTCTTCAACTTATTTTCAAATAGTTCAGTAAAAATAAAATGTAATCTTTACATAAACAGAAAGCACACATGGCAACATATTTATTATTGCTGACTCTACAGTAGAGGGTATATGGGTATTCAGTATATATCATAATTACAAAAGCACACTTGTAATAAACTTTTCAGTGAATAAATACAATTACTATTACAAGTTTAGAATTTAACATCCTGGTCGCTTGAGCCCAGGGGTTTAAGATTACAGTGAGCTATGATTGCACCACTGCACTCCAGCAAGGTGTACTACTTATTGCCTGTGGTATACTATACTATTCTTTCATCTTCTCTGTTTGTGAAATTTTTCACAGTGAAAAGTTGGAAACTAAGGAAATCATGACAAAGCCATGTGTGTATCCAAGGAAACTAAGTACTAGAATAATCTATTTTAGATGACTGTGGTATTGTTACAGTATCTTTAGCGTATGCTAACAATACAAACAAAAAAAATGAATACATTTATAATTATCTAAGTTTTGCCGTAACTTTACTAGACATGTCTTTCCACTGAGGTAAAGTATCTTCAAATGATCAATCTTACCCAGAACCAGTGAAGACGGGTCACTCATTTTACAAACAACCTTTGCAAATGGAACCACAAGGCTCTCCCAGTTGTTAGAAAGATGCATCACAGGACATTCTGGGAGAAGGAAGAAAACTTCTAAAGCTTCTTGGTGTGGAGAATGAAATGGAAGTCTTTTGAGCAGATTATCTTTGAGGCAGGTGGTTATCTGTGGTCAGAAAGGAACAGGGAAAAGGCATTCAAAACTCAGTAGAAGCAGGGTGCAACTGATGGTAATAAAACAAGGTGAAGAGGCTGGAATGTCATTCTACTACTAAATGAGAATAATCATTTAGTTTTTCTAAAACCCCTGTTTACATCCCTTCTCACCTAGCCTCCAAAATATTGGAGGTATTTGGAATATACAATAAGTATTCTCTCCATTCAATTATTGGGGTGCATGAAGAAGATCAAGCACACCTGTAATCCCAGCACTTTGGGAGGCCGAGGAGGGCGGATCACAAGGTCAGGAGATCAAGACCATCCTGGTCAACATGGTGAAACCCTGTCTCTACTTAAAATACGAATTTAGCTGGGCGTGA